AGTGAGCCGAGATCACACCATTGCACTCCAGCTCGGGCAACAAGAGCGAAACTTGAAAAAAAACAGAAACAAAAACAGAGCAGCACCAGGGATCCCTTGTGATGTTGGTCTACCACCACAGTCAACTGTGGTGTTAGATACACAAAACTACATTGGCGATAACATTTTAAAGCTCTTTTTTTTTTTTTTCGAGACAGTGTGTCATATTGTTGCCCAAGCTGGAGTACAGTGGCTCGATCTCAGTCCACTGCAACCTCTGCCTCCTGGGTTCAAGCTGTTCTCCTGCCTCAGCCTCCCAAGTAAGTTGGATTACAGGTGCCTGCCACCATGCCCTGCCAATTTTTTGTGTTTTTAGTAGAGATGGGGTTTCACTATGTTTGCCAGTCTCAAACTCCTGGCCTCATGATCCGCCCACCTGAACCTCCCAAAGTGCTGGGCGCCCAGCTAAAATTTTATAGCTCTCTTTTTTTGTTTGTTTGTTTTTTCTTTTTTTTAACAGAGTTTTGCTGTTGTTGCCCAGGCTGGAGTACAATGGAGCAATCTTGGCTCACCACAACCTCTGCCTCCCGGGTTCAAGTGATTCTCCTGCCTCAGCCTCCCAAGTAGCTGGGATTACAGGCCTGTGCCACCATCCCCGCTAATTCTGTATTTTTAGTAGAAATGGGGTTTCACCATGTTGGTCAGGGTGGTCTTGAACTCCTGACCTCAGGTGATCTGCCCGCCTTGGCCTCCCAAAGTGCTGGGATTACAGGTGTGAGCCACCGCGCCCGGCAAATTTTATAGCTCTTTTTTTTTTTTTTTTTTTTTTTGAGATGGAGTCTCGCTCTATCGTCCAGTCTGGAGTGCAGTGTCGCCATCTCAGCTCACTGCAAGCTCCGCCTCCTGGGTTGACTCCATTCTCCTGCCTCAGCCTCCTTAGTAGCTGGGACTACAGGTGCCCGCCACCATGCCTGGCTAATTTTTTGTATTTTTTAGTAGAGACGGGGTTTCACCATGTTAGCCAGGATGGTCTTGATCTCCTAACCTTGTGATCCGCCCGCCTTGGCCTCCCAAATGCTGGGATTACAGGCGTGAGCCACCGCGCCCTGCCTATAGCCACTGTGCCCAGCCTATAGCTCTTAATACACACACACACACACACACACACTCACACACACACACGTACAAGTAAAACTAGGGAAATTTGAATGAACCTTAGTGATTATATCAATCAATGTCAATGTCCTGGTTGTGATATTATACCATAGCTTTGCAAGATGTTACCATTGAAGGTAACCAGGCAAAGTGTAGAAGAAATCTCTATTATTTTTTACAACTGCTTATGAATTGATAATTATTTCAATGAAAGTTTCAATTAAAATCTAGGAGTCTGGGGCAAGTTTCAATTGACCCCCAAATTTCTCCCGTGTCTATCCTCAGCTACCAAACTGCACTTAGCCCTAGAATGTATATGTCTTTCCTGTCGGAGGCACCTCTGACTGGAAATTCACTATTCCTATAGTGGCAGGATAATTTATTGACGCCCAGTGAGTTTTGTTCTCTCAAAACTGTGGGAGCTTGGTGAGAAGCACAATCATTTCCTCTCTACCCAGGCAATTCTGGGTATTCTTGCCCTGCAAAGAATGATCACTAGCATCTTTGTTTCTTAATCATTCAAGGCTCCTTTTCCATCGAGGTGGTAAAATCCATGGTTTCTGAACAGGCAGAGCTAGGATTGGGATTCCATCTTAAGAAGCCTTGGAAGAGAGGTGGGTTTCCTTGGAAGGGGCAGTATTTGCATGTGGTAGGGCTAAGGGCCCGTGTGCGGGCTGGGCAGTCTGCACTAAGAGAGGAGGCTCCTTGGTAAACTGAGGGATGGGATGGCAGCAGGGGCCTAGCAATCATGGCACTGCAGGTGAAGAAACTGCACCCAACCAGACAGAACTCTTGTCCAACCTGAGGAACTAAGAGGACCAGAATTATATTTCCCAAGAATCAGGCAGTTGAAGGCTGGAAAGAGATTAATCTGCTTTAGAAGAAAAAATGAAAAAAAAGAAAAAATAATTTTCTTGCATCTGTATGTCATGGACAAAAATTTTACAAACCAAAGGAGAGTGGATGCTACATCTTAGAAAGGCTTTAAACAATAGCTAGAATCTGCCTGTAATCTCAGCACTTTGGGAGGCCGAGGCAGGCAGATCACAAGGTCAGGAGATTGAGACCATCCTGGCTAATACTGTGAAACCCGTCTCCACTAAAAATACAAAAAAAATTAGCCAGGCATGGTGGTGGGTACCTGCAGTCCCAGCTACTTGGGAGGCTGAGGCAGGAGAATGGCGTGAACCTGGGAGGCAGAGCTTGCAGTGAGGAGAGATCGAGCCACTGCACTCCAGACTGGGTGACAGAGTGAGACTCTGTCTCAAAAAAAAAAAAAAGAAAAAAAACGGTAGCTAGAATCTGCCAGCTGAAACCTGGTACCTCTCAGTCAATGCAAAATGAAAATGTGCAACTTCTCTGAGCAGTCCTATTAATTAAAACAACTTTAGACCTAGGAAGAACCATGAGATTTGACATTTATATAACCTGAATCCAAGACACAGATTACGCTACTTGGGGCTGCTGCTAATGCTAGTAAATTTTTTGTGTAGAAAATCCTTACATTGATCTGCAGCCAAAACATGTCCCTTATATGTCTGTTTCTGAGTAATGAGTTGTTTTTTTTTTTTTTTTTGA